AGGGACCCTCCCTGCTCTGACCCAGCAGGGCTCTTCTGGTGTTCTTCTCAGGGGAAGGCCTCGGCCTCTTTGCCCTGTTGCTGGCCCTCCAGAGGGACTGGCTGGTCCCTGTGTGAGACGGGAGGCTGGACTGGAGGGACCCTCCCTGGTCTGATCCGGCAGGGCTCTTCCGGTGTTCGTATATTCTTTCTGTCCCTTTCCTCTGCCCCCTACATAATGTTATAAACCTTTTCCCCTAAATTTCCCGCATAGGATAGGTGCTCCAACCCCTTAATCACCTCGGTTGTGCTTTTTCCAGCTCTACAACAGAACTATACACAGTACTGCAAACGAGGCCACACCATAGATCTATCCAGGAGTATGACAACACTGGCGTTACTATTTTTAATTCCTTTCTGAATAACGTTGCCATGGTTCTCTGAAACTGAAACTGAAGCACTGAATGCAAGTTACATGCCAAAAAGAACTTCCGGGATGCCCAGAGGCCGAGTTCGAAGAGGCACGTACACCATGCAATTACTCATTCTCCGATGACTGATCTGTGGCCCGACTGTAAAAAACAGGGTGTTTGCGGCCGTTTTTCAATAATCTTCCAGGCATCCTGTCTATGAGGATGCGGCAGTTATTACGCAGAGGAACTCAGCCTGTGCAAACCAGAACCAAAGTCTGTCTGAGCAGCATAAACAGGCCTGTGTTTCAGACAGTGCCTTCCGTCTCTGTGTCCCGTGACTCCCCCACCCCAGTTGTAGAATCACAGAATCAGAGAGTTGGAGGGTACCCTAAAGGCCATCTAGTCCAGCCCCCGGCTCAAGGCAGGATCAGCCTACTAGAGCATCCCTGATGAGTGTTTGTCCAGCTGCTGCTTGGAGACCGCCAGGGAGGGGCAGCTCACCCCCTCCCCAGGCAGCCGATCCCACTGCTGCACGACTCTTGCTGTGGAAAGTTTTCCCTGAGATCCAGCCGGTACCTTCCTGCCCTTAATTTAAGCCCATTATGCAGTGTACAACGGGACGATGACTTCTTGCGATCTGGATGTTGTAAGCAGTCCCTGTTCCACAACCAGGCAGCAACCAGGCAATAGGTCAGGGGGCCCCAACCAATATTCCCTCTAAACTGTGGAGTCTTATGAACAAAAATTCTACTTTGTGAGCTGCTGGCATTAAAGTTGTGAGTGAGTGCTTTGGCTACTGCATAAATTCGTTGGCTCTGGAACCATCCTTCCTGAGCCGAGACAAAAAATGTGTGAGCCGGAGGCTAAAAATCTGTGAGCTGGCTCACGCTAACTCAGCTTAGAGGGAACACTGCCCCCAACGTAGTGCCTGTAGACTGAAGTTAATCTGTAGCCATCATTTTGTGCCCGGTTCCGCTTCTCACAGCCGCCCTTTTGTGTGCTTTCTCATATTTCTAAAGGTGCCCTGCAGGCTCAAATAGGTTAGGGACCCCTGCTGCAATATGGCATTTCCCCTTCTTTAGGCTGTCCTCATTAAATGACGTTATTGAGCCCTGACCTGGATAGCCCAGGCCAGTATTTGGAAGGATGACGTCCAAGGAATACCAGGGCCATGACGCAGAGGCAGGCAATGGCAAACCATCTCTGAAATGTCTCTGGCCTTAAAAAACAAATCTAGCTCACACCTAGTGGTGCATAATGCTAAAAGAGCTATAACGTCCTGCTGCCAGACAATCTTAGGATCTCCTGTCTACTCTACACACAGTGTCATATGGTAATTATAACTATTATTGCAGTTACTAGAACTGGACTGTGTCAAGCCACGGTCTCCTTTCTCTACCTCATGTACATGTCCACAGGCATCTGTCTATATGCAGCATGTGTGTGGGGAGAACTTTGTTTTGATCAAAAGAAGGGAGGGACAGGAAGGGACGTTCTGCGAAAATGTCTGAATTCCTCTTAAGCAGAGGATCAGAACAAAGCCATGTTTTCCAGACCTTCCTACCCTCCTGTGATGCACAGTATTCAAACAAACAAACAAAGGATAACTTTTCAAAAAAAGGGTGCACAGAGCTCCACCATGTGGTGTAAACCAAAAACTACAAAGAGGAATCAAAGAGAAATTTCTCTTTAGAAAAAAGAGGAATCAGTGGCTCTATCTAAAAAAGCAAGCTTTGACGCGAGAAGTCCTCATCTGCATAACAACACTACTACAGAATGTATCTCAGGATGCAACACTACTAGAGAAAGCAGGGGGTTGGACTAGATGACCTGCAAGGTCCCTTCCACCTCTAACATTCTACGATTCTTCCTTTGTCCTCATCTTCCCTTCGCCCCCTCGCCCCCATCTTCCCAGCAAATCAAAGCGTGTCCATCAGTCTAGAGATTCCTTCACAGCTAAGAAAGAATGAGCAGCGGAGGACCCCCCCCCATGTGCACACCACGGGTGGCCTCTCCTGCATGCTGAACAGTCCTGTCCAGTGCATTCAAAGGGCAAGGTACATTTTAAGAATTAGTTGTGTAAGACCGCCCCCCCCCCCCCGGGGCCACTTCTGAAGACTGAGGGAGAGCCGGCAACTCACTTCTTCATGATCTGGATCTCGTGGCACCAGCGGTCCTTGTTTTTCATGCTCAGTTCCAGGCGGCAAGATTTGATGGCAATCTTGGTCCCTGTTTCCTGTTGGGCAGGAGAGGAAAGAGAGGAGTGAGAAGGTGAGCCCAGGAAACAGCCCTGGGGGGGGGGCATATTCCCACAGCTGGGGTTCCCAACCTCCAGGAGAAAGCTGGAAACCGCCCAACATGACAAACGTTCCCTAGACTTAGACGAGTTCCCTTGGAAGAAATGGCTGCTTTGGAGGGTGGATTCTCTGGCTTTATACCCCCATGGAGGCCCTTCCACTCCCCAAATCCTGCCCTCCCCAGCCTCCAGCCCCCCAATCTCCCAGGCATTTGCCGACTTGGGGCTGGCAACCGTCTTCCTCCCACCTGAGGGTAAGCTCTGGCCATACACCAAGCCCCACAGTAAGGCTTCTCCGCCAGGTGCCTGCTGGCCTTGCCAACTCTGCCCTGGGACATTCCAGGGGGGAGGGGAGGAGGGGCGCTAGACTTTTTTAAAAAAATTATTTATTACGATATAGATACAAAACGAGAACACACCAGTGTTGTACAACCTTGTGATAAGTAAGGTACTGAAGATATAAGACGCAGAGAATGTCAAACAGAAATACTTCTCAATTGTGCTGCATTAGAGGAGTGGATCATAACGCCTAATTTAAACCGACCAACCACCAAACATGATGACGCAACCTTTTTAATGTCCCCTCTTAAGCCGTCCATCTATCCTACAAGCCACCCATTCCTGTTCCACCTCCGCCACAGACACACCTGGGCTCTCGGTGGCCTCTCCTCACGGCTGCCCCCCCCACACACCCACACCGATTCCCGCTGGCACCAGCCTTTGAGATTTTATTCCAGTTTTGTCTGAAGAAGTGTGTTATGCACAGGAAAGCTCACGCCTTGAATAAAGCTCTGTGGGTCTTAAAGGTGCCCCATGGACTCAAAACTTTGTTCTGTTGCTTCAGACCAACACGGTCACCCACCTGAATTGTGTGCACATGAAAGCTGATACCCTGAATTAAACTTTGTGGGTCTTACAAGGTGCCCCCTGGACTCCCAACTTGGTTCTGCGACTTCACACCCACATGGCTACCCCCACCTGAAATTTAAATGAAAAAGTGTGCATGCACATGGAAGCTTGTACCCAGAAGTAAGGTTTCTTGGTCTTAAAGGTGCGTATGCACATAAGAACATAAGAGACGCCAATGTTGGATCAGGCCAAAGGCCCATCCAGTCCAACGCTCTGGGACACACAGTGGCCAGAAATACCAGGGGCCCTCAGGAGGTCCAGCAGTGGGGCCAGGACATTAGAAGCCCTCCCACTATTGACCCCCCCCCCCAAGCACGCGAAAGCTTAAACCCAAAATTAAAGTTTCTTGCACGCACATGAAAGCTTGCACCCAGAAGTAGGGTTCCTTGGTCTTAAAGGTGTGTGTGCACGTGAAAGCTTATGCCCAAATCAGTGTTCCCTCTAAGCTGAGTTAGTGTGAGCTAGCTCACCGTTTTTAAGCCTCTGGTTCACACATTTTTGTCTTAGGTCAGGAAGGGTGGCTCCAAAGCAAACTAATCTATGCAGGAGCCACATCGCTCGCTCACAGCTTTAATGCCAGCAGCTCACAAAGTAGAATTTTGGCTCACAAGACTCCATAGGTTAGAGGGGACATTGCCCAAAATTAAAGTTTCTTGCATGCCCATGAAAGCTTGTACCCAGAAGTAAGGTTTCTTGGTATTAAAGGTGTGCATGCACGCGAAAGCTTATACCCAAAATTAAAGTTTCTTGCATACCCATGAAAGCTTATACCCAGAATCAGACTTTAGGTGTGTATGCACGCAAAAACTTATACACAAAACTAAAGTCCATTGTGCGCAGACGAAAGCTGACCAACAAATTCAGGTTCCTTGGTCTTAAAGGTGTCTATGCACACGAAAGCTGACACCCCAAATTAAAGACCACGTTAGACTCCAGGAGCGCCTTTAAGACCAACGAAGTTTTCTTCAGGGTTTGAGCTTTTGCGCCTGCACACCACAGGTGCCCCTGGGCTCCAGCGTTGTTCTGCTGCTTCCGCCCAACACGGCGGCGGCCCACCTGGACCCAGCTCTTAAGGAAGTTCAGAGGGACACCTTTTTTTAGGAACCACGCTCCCTGCGAGAAACCAAACGACCCCCTACAGGAAACCACTTCCCGGCGAATTTGGAACGTGCGCCCACACATCCTAGTCTTCTGGAATAGCATAAAAGAATCTGGGGGTGCCACACATCCTAGTCTTCTGGAATAACATAAAAGAATCTGGGGGTGCCACACATCCTAGTCTTCTGGAATAACATAAAAGACTCTGGGGGTGGAGCTCGGGGGGCGGGTCGGAGGGGGAA